CCTCGTTGGTTGGACTGCATGGAACGCGTTTTAAAACGCGAACGGAATGTGACGCACGAAAGGAGTTTGTTCTATGGCCGCAAACAACGAGAACTTGAAGCATTCGAAAAAGCTCCACGCGGAAGACGGTGCGACTTCACAAATGCGGCGGAGATACATTCATAATGAATATGAAAGAGTCGAACTGCCATCGGGAATTGTCGCGTTAAACAAAAACGCCGGAAGAAATATAAAGGATTGCTTTATCCTATGAACTGGGGGATAGAGCATACAAGTCATACACGGGAAAGCCATCGGCATCAGTGCTGTAAATCAACATCAAAAAGGAACCGGTGGGGAACATCCGACGGGGAACAGGATATTTCCGAAACCGAGGGCGCGGCGGACGCGGAAACGGACCAGGGGAGTCAAATTCTAGGAGGTCATATAATTGTAATGCTCCCAACTTTACGTTGGAACGTATAAACAGTTGTCCAACAAAAAACGCCACCTGTAAGGTGTGCCGGAAATTTCGTGTCGTCAATCGTAATCACTGTATAAAAAGACAGAAGCAAGAGAATTAAACAAGCAGGTACACAAGATATTAGTACCAAATGCCAAATCTAGAAGAATCGATGGTTGGAATAAGTCAGATAATGCCAGAAAGAAAAGACGAGGAAGTCTATATTTCAAGTCTCGGCTTAATGTACGTGTACGGCCAAGTGGCATTCAAAGCGAAAACAAGCATACAATGTAATTTCACATTAGTAGGAGGAAGATCCACCAGTACCTATTGCTTTAAAAAAAGTTTTACGGTTTAACGACGATGCCCGCCGAATTTCAAAGAGTCATGAAAAATTTAACTGAAGAATCCTAGCAAGCACACGCATTTATCGATGACATTTTAAGAGTTTCAAAAGAAAACAAAATTGAACCTATTTCGTTAGTAGAAAGAATATTCAAGGAATTCGACGTGGCAAAGGCCTCACCAAAGCTCCAAAAATGCCAATTCCTAAAATCAAGTTGCCAATGGCTGGGACATCAAATAAGCAATACCGGAATTACGCCATTGATCCGAAAAACGAAAGGAATAGATGAAATGAAAGCGCCGCGGAATAGACGACAGCTAAAATCGCTGATGGTTTCTCTGCATACTTAACACAAGTTCTTACCAAACATTGCAGAAATGAGCGCACCGTTAGGAACCCTCCCAAGCAAAATGAATGAATTTATTGGGACTAACCAATGCAAAACGGCGTTCGACTCCTCAAGCGATTGGTGGCAAGCATAAATGAGCCTAAGCACTTCGATATACACCGTGAAATACGAGTCGTGCGCGATGCAAGTCACGACGGCTTAGGCACAATGTTAGAACAGCACAGCCAAGAGGGATGGCAAACCAACCATCTCATTTGCATCTAGATATCTCCATCCCGCAGAACGTAAATTTTCAACCAACAAGATCGAACTAATAGCCGTCGTATGGGCCATCGAATATTACAGAAATTACATTTACGGACGTTTTTTTGCAGTTATTCTGATGACAAAGCATTATTAACCTTACTAAACTCTTCGCCAAAAGGAAACAAAACATTTTTTCGATAGATTAACAAGATGGTACGACAAACTACTGCCTTATGATTTTATGATGAAATACCGTCAAGGGTCAAACAAGGGGATGGTAGACTACTTAGCAAGATATCATTCGTAGGATGCAACCTCCTACAACATTCACAGTCGCAAAATGAAGCATGATAAATTAAGCACTAAATCCGGCAAAGGAATTTTAAAAAGTACAAAAAACTAAAGGACAGAGAAATCCAAAAAAAACACTCGGCAGTATCAAACGATAGAGGGCGGAAGATCACGCAATTACGTTTCAGGCAATGCCAGCAAGAGATCGCGTAAATATGCAAACGCATCAAGTAATCAAAGCGAGCCCGCCGAGGCCGTAAAGTCATGCGAGCAAAATCCAGCCAATGGCGTACGAGATGTTTGCATATCGCGTAATGTATGCACGAGCGAAAAACAGGAAACCAGACTTCGCTCTCAATTGTTAAATTCAGGTGACTCAGTTTCTAATAAGTCCACAATTTTTTTTTGATTATTCAAGTTGCAAGGATATGGCTCAAAAATTTGCAACTTTCTTTAACACCAGATAAGCCAGATAACATCACGGCAATTGTAGATACTTGAACCCAATCAGTCTACGTTAATCTCAATCTAGTTGTCAATATTTAAACTAATCAAACCACAACTCTGGGCTCGAGTAGTTCTGACTCTGATATTGAAATAATACCCAATGACAAACTACCCCAACGCGATACCGCATCAAAGAAACTCAGCACGATCCTTTCATTTCCTTCTAAATTTCCTAGCCTCTCATGCCCCTCATAAACACAGACAAGTGAATATATTCCATGATCCCAACGGACAGCAAAAGGGTGAGGAGAGTGGATCATCCAGATGTACTTTCTCTCAAAACAGTGGAGATAACATCGAGAAGGACCCAATTCTGAAGATAATCAGAGAAATTCCTATGGATGGATGGCAGACTGGCAATACCAAAGGCACTGGTGACCCCGATAATGAATCGACTACATTATTATTATCATGGTCGTGACAAAATGTGTGCCGCATCCAAGGACATCTGGATACCGATGCTGCATCGAAATTTGGCAGCAACGGCCATGCTATGCAAGCACTGCTTAGAAGCAGGTAAAAATCTGAAACTAGGTATAGCCACAGGTAATCTAGGAGAAACATATATACCAACTGAACCTAACGAGGTAGTCCAATTGGATTTTCGGGGGCCGGTTAACTACGAAAAAAGAAGAAAAAAACACGCATTTATAGCTGTCGATGTATGTCCTCACTGGCCTTTGGCCTCTGTTTGTTCTAGCAATAACTCAAGAATTGTTTTGAAATTTCTGAGAAAGTACATAGCCACTCACAGGCATTCTCTAAAACCGCAAATGGACCAAGCCTCCTGGTTCTTTTCCAAAAAAAGCGAAATTTCTGCTGAATCGAAAACATCGAATTGTTAAAACTGCAGGTTAGAGACCATCGGGCAACCGGAATGGTAGAGAGAACCATCGGTTCTCCGAAAAATTAATGTTATAACATATCTGAAGGAACAGGGGGAATTCAAGGCATTAATACTAAGAGCGCTACGCGAATTGCGATTTGTCTCTAACAGTGAAACAAACTTAGCTCCCTTTGAAGCACACCATGGGAGAGAAGCAAACACGGGACTCAGAAACATCGTAAAACGCCCAAGTTTCAAAATCCTCAATTGGAACAAAATATTAACCCGAAAACTGTCTGCTGTAGACTAAACAAGTGGGAGGCCAAACGATGAACCCTTCCGGATGGAGGATTGGGACAAACGTAGTGACCTCCAGAAAATCGTCGTGGGCCCCGAATCCTCGATGATCAGGAATTGGCAGAAAGGGAAATCGAACTGAACCACCCCAAGGCTCCTCCTGAACTGCGGCACAAAACAGCAAAAACAACCAAGGAAGTGTACATAGCGTACCAACAGACAGACGTTATAGATCCAAAAAAGCCAGCCAAGTATAAATAAGTTAGATAAAAAATGGAAAATTAACTCCGCACACAGTAAAAATGAAAAAGGGCTATCTGTTACTAAGAAGCGGTGTTGCGTCTAGATGCGATCCACAATGGGAAAACGCCGTCGTAAGACCATCAGCGAGCACTAAACGAATAACAGCGGAGAGTGTGGCTGAAGGTGTAACCGAAGGTCTGCCTATTGAGGCGGATAGGCCATCGCTACAGAGGAAAAGTCGGGCACGTGCCAAACGCTCGGCAAGGACGTCGACACGGTCACCGGGTCACGAAAAGAGTCGCGAAAAAAAGCGACGAATTGCGCAATCGAGCAGCGATTCAGAGGAAACGGCGGACGACACACAGACGCCAACGGCGAC